ATTTTACATGCACAAAATTACCCATATAGTAACTAGTAATTCATATATATGGCCATCTGTGATATAGATCATCTTTTTAGCACAAGGACGACTACCTAGTTGACCAGCAATGTTGAAATACTTGCAAAATTGAGTGCTTTCCTTACCTGTCATTAGTTCGCATTTACTTTTGTTGAATTCTTGAGGCAGCTGCATCGCTGTAAGTTCCTTATTTTCACTGACCACAACTTCAGCAAATAGAGGTCCTGATGTATCTTCTAAACTCGGGCATCTGTGAAACACTTGCTGAAGTCTGGATGCGCATGGGTTGAAACAGCTAGTTCCATTGATCAGGGTCTGGGTTCTTCTGTTTTGTTTGACCTGGCCATGGGTAGCTTCCATCTGTCTGTCATCCTAGAACAGCATCTGGAGCCAGACTATGTGGTATCTATCTCTTGGGCAAAAAGGTTAAGTCCCCTGACATGGATTGCATTTAGCAACTGAACAAACAGAGCAGCTTGGATATGAGCTTTTATTTAGAGGAAACCAGATAGCCATTTTGGTGATAAAATATTGATCTCCTATTATCTTGTGTTGCCAAGACTACTGTGTATAGCACATTTCTTAAAAGGAGATAGAGTTTTAAAGAAGTTAGGTCTTATTAATAAGGGAAATTACATTTTGAAAAATGTCTTGAGTGATATTCTATTGCCATGTTTAATGTTGATTGAGAACACATCATGTCCCATTTAAGTCAATACTTTGTCTTTTTTTTTAAGCATTGCTTTCTTCTAAAAAAACAGCGTGTCGCCGGGCGTGGTGGCTCAAGCCTGTAATCCCAGCACTTTGGGAGGCCGAGACGGGCGGATCACGAGGTCAGGAGATCGAGACCATCCTGGCTAACACGGTGAAACCCCGTCTCTACTAAAAAATACAAAAAACTACCCAGGCGAGGCGGCGGGCGCCTGTAGTCCCAGCTACTCGGGAGGCTGAGGCAGGAGAATGGCGTAAACCCGGGAGGCGGAGCTTACAGTGAGCTGAGATCCGGCCACTGCACTCCAGCCTGGGCGACAGAGCGAGGCTCCCTCTCAAAAAAAAAAAAAAAAGCGTGTCTACTCTATAGCTTAAGGAAGTGAGGCCAAAGATGCAGTCATTTTTAAGGCAGGTAGAAAAAATTAATCAGTGTGAACTGATGTTAGCTTTCAGGAAAATCTGATGTCTTTAAATGAACATTTTGTAATAATCTAATTTTATTTAATTTAACATACTTTTATTTTAAGTATTTGCAAAGTATTGGCTAACCCCTGTGGGGAATCCAAAGATGTCAGACATAATCTCTGACCTCCAGGAACTATCTGTCTAACAAGGTTCACTAGCATACAAATACAGATAATTCTACACTAAGGCAGACTCTGATGAGTACTGTGTAGAATTATCAGGTTCTAGAGGGATATGGAAGAGGAAGAGGTTAATTCTGACTGGGAGTTTTCAAGAGGGCCTCAAGGAAGATGCCAACTTTGAGTTGGACCTTGAAGAATAATAAAAGTAGGTAACATTTATTGAGTGCTTGCTAAATTTCAGCAATGTTCAAAGTGCTTTAAACTTATTAACTCTTTTAAGTCTCATGATTAACTTTATAAGCTAAGTCTTGCTATAATTCCCATTTTATAGTTGCATCACTGAGGCATAGAATAGTTAAGTAACTTGCCAAGATAGTAAGTGATGGTGTCAGGATTCAAATTCAAGGAGTCTGGCACTACAATGCTCATTCTTAACCATAGTACTATACTGCTTCCTGTCAGGGATAAATAAGCATATTCAAGCAGTTGAGAGCAGCTCAGCCACAGTCATAGAGAAGAGAAAACCGAGGAATGTTTGAAAAATTCAGTTTATTAGTCTGGCTTGAACTTGGGCAAAAAATGTGTTGAGGAATTGTAGAATACAAGACACAGAGACACAAGTAGGGCTATAGAGAACTTGGTATATCGGCTTGGGGAATTGCAGGGGAATGCTGTGGTAAGGTTATTATTATAATAGGACCCTTTAGGGGGAGTACTGAATGACTGGGGAGAGAATGTCATTTAAGGATCTATTAATTCTATTAAATGCTCCAAAAACTCTTTGTTAAGCTTCTCTTATGTACCAGGAACTGTTCTGAGTGTTGAGGATACAGCAGGGAACAAGAGAGACAAGTCCCCACCCTCACTGTGTGGAAAGACTATGGAGGGTATATAAGTAAACAGATAAATAAACAAGATAATTTTCTATAGTTCTGAAAGAAGGAAATAAAGTGATGTGATGTGATAGAGAGTGGCCATGGGCAGAAGAGTATTCACTCAGAGTGGTGGTCAGGATCTGTGACTGTCCCAGGCCTGAACTGAGGCCTAAATGGCAGAGGAGGCAGTGATAGATGAAGGCAGGGCAAGTGTTCAGCAAAAGGGGATTTGCATTTATTAAGAAGAGCATTACAAGAAGAGTTAACAAATGCAGAAGCTCTGAATTGGGAAAGAGCTTGGAGGGTTCAAGAGGCAGAAAGAATGCCAAAAAGAAGTATTTAGCAAAAGATGATGGAGAGGGGAATGGGTTGAAGTTTGAGAAATAGGCAGGACCAGGACCTTGTAGGTAGAACATTTGTATTTTATTCTAAAAGAACTGGGAAGCCATTGAAAAGTTTTCAGTAGGTGAATGACGTAATCTGTTTTATATTTTGAAAAGATCACCCTGGATAATATATGAAGAATGGACAATATAGAGACAGAAGTGAAAGCAGGAAGATCAATTAGGTGGCAAGCTGGAAAAGCCCAAAGAAGAAAAAGATTAGTCTAGGCCTTGAGGCTGGAGAGAGGTGGATAGATTAGGATTATGTTTTGTAGGCTGAGCTAAAAAACTTGAATTGAGGGAGAAACGTGAGAGAAAGACGCTATTACAAAGGATGACTCCAAGAATTTTGGCTCAAGGTAACTGAATGATGTAATACTAGTAACTGAAATGGAAAGAACTGGCTTGAGGGCTGGGAGAATTAAGAGTTCTTCTACACCATTCAGGACATAGGCATGGGTAAGGACTTCATGTCTAAAACACCAAATCAACGGCAACAAAAGCCAAAATTGACAAATGGGATCTAATTAAACTAAAGAGCTTCTGCACAGCAAAAGACACTACCATCAGAGTGAACAGGCAACCTACAGAATGGGAGAAAA